ACCTTTAAAATTTACTGTTGTTTGCACGATTACGAACCCTACCGGAATGGTCAGATATCTACTGGAAATGCCATCAATCTCCCAGTAGCCAAAGAAAGCTGTCTGGGAGATGAGAATGGGCCTCTTTCCTTGTTTGAGTGTGTCCATCTTGCTCATGTATATGATGGGAGTGGGGGAGAAGGGCACGCCTGTTCTCTCCGTCTCAATTCAGTCGGTAAACAGGGGAGCGGTGGATGGGGAGGTTCTGATATCCTGAAAGAGCGGGCCACTGGTCCCACCTGAATGATCAGGGAAGGATAGAAAGGGTTGGTCACCGCCGTCGGCCGTGACAAGGGGAAGACGCGGAAGCCTTGACAATCGGCTCCCCTCTACGTCGCTTCCGCTGGCTTGTTTCGTGATGTCATTTCCTCCTGTTTTCGTCCGGCCCGTGCTGGTTGTTTGAGGTGTCTTTGAGCTCAGCAATATTCCGTTAGGGACTTTTGTTGTCAGATCATCAGGTAGTACTGCTAATGTTCCTGATCCTTGAGAGTTTAAAAAATGACCACAGAATATAGACTAACGTTCGAGTCGAACGCTGCACGGTCAAAAATGCTGTCTTTCAGATGCAACAATAAATCCAGTCTGCCCTCTTAATCAGGTGCTCAATTTTCCCCCCCACACTTATTTGGGGTATGGGGGGTGAGATTTCCATTAGCCTGGTTAACAGTTATACCTTTAACAACTCCACCAATGCAGATAATCTTAATAATTAATTTAATTTTTGGCTGTGGTTGCTATTTGGAACAATTGCCGCAGTCGCTACGCATTAAAATAAACAATTGTCTTTGAAGTGCATTGGGATGTCCTATGTTCATGAAAATCACAAAATAAATCAATGTTTGTTGTTACTTAGTTAGAAATTGACCTAGGGATGTGACCCTCCCAGATGTAACATCACACCATCCGTTATTTTTTTTTTGAAAGCTATTACATATAGTATGAATTATTCTCCCATTTCAAGAAGCGTGTACATTCACTTATTTTCTTGATTAGCACGGACTCTTATGGTATTCACTATTTAAAGAATTCTTGTAAAATTCCAGTTACAATGTAGTTTCTTGCCTCGCCAAAAGCTAGTAGGAGATACAAAAAACCTCAAATTCCTCCATTGCCAGCACAGTCTGATGCAGTTATTTTCAGTTTCACGTTTTGGTTGTTAATTGCTTTAAATCTGAGGAAAGGCAATGCCGAACGCACTTTGTCAGTGCTCCTCTGATGCTGCTTGGCCTGCTGTGTTCATCCAGCTCTACACCTTGTTATCTCAGATGCTTTGCTACAGTTGTATGGAGTATTGATGAAGGAGTACTGTATAGTTTTACTTAAGAAAAGATGTAAGTGCATTAGAGCAGTGCTTTCTAAATGATTTTCCGTTGTCACCTCATTTTCGTGCTTACTGTGACCCATTTTGGTACTCACCATGACCCCCAGGGCTGCATTGTAGAGAAAGAAGAATTGTGGGCTTACGGGATTGTAAGGGATGTAAGGGGATGATGGATCAAGGAACAGGAAGACACCTATGACACTGGGTGCGGAAGAATGTATCAGAATGGATGATGTGGTATTCCAAGGGAGGAGTGAGAGACATTACAGCAGGGATAAGAGATGAGGCAAGAGATCTGAGATAGTGGAAGGAGAGGGCGTGGTTGAAGTGTTATGACACCTGACAGTGGAAGGAGATGTGTGTAGAACAAAGGGTGACCTGCATTTGGGGTGGGAGTACTGTTTAATTTGCAGTATTAAAATAAAACTATTCCACAAGGTTTTGCAAGACAGTAATCAGGTCTCAAAAATCAGCCAGTTAGGCTATGCCACTAGTGACCCCAAAGGGGGTACAGCCAATAGTTTAGAAAGACTTGAAGTAGAACTGGTTGTGCAGTTTTAAAATTGGGGATCTCTCATTGAAGACCAAAGTAAGGAGGAATTTTTCTGACAGTTATGAATCTTTGGAACTGCCTTCCCCAGACAATGATAGAGAGAGGATCATTGATCATAAGGGAATCCAAAATTGTCAGGTGAGGCAGGAATGGGATGTTATGGCCCTAATCAGATCAGCCATGATCTTGTTGAAAGGCAGAGCCGGCTACAGGAGCAAAATAGCCTACTGTTTCTTCTAATTCGTATGTTGGTTAGGTTGTGATTAAAAACTAATCAGGAGTTCTAGCTGAATATTTATTTTCAACCCAAGGATACTGAGGCCAGATCCAGTTCACTAATGGAAAAACAGGGCATCATCTTTTCTGTTGACTGTTATGAAAATGCAACTTTGGATCCCAGTTAACTGATTAGGAGAATAAAGTGTGGCAGAATTGTTGAAGTTCTAGACATAGAACTAAAGAGTTGGCGCCCAGATGGTGTCACAAGAATACAGAGTTGAAGGAACTGACAAAGGTCAGAAGAGTTGAAAGAGGTGGGAGAAATTGAGAGACTGGAGAAGTTTGAACGCAGTGGATTTCTGTTTGAGGGTCACTCCAAGTGCATCCACTCACTCAGTCTTGCTCACTTCACCATTGGCCCTGTTACTATTCCATGTTCATCCACATCATTTCTTGCTTGACTGTTATGTGATGTGGATTGTCAGGAATGCTTGATATTTTAGTATAACAGAATCTGGCCCAAAACTACGTTAGCCACAATGCAATTCTATACCCATGTGCCATTTGTTCATGTACGATCAAAATACTGAAGATATTTGAGTTCTGAAATACAATCAGAAAACGCTGTAAATACTCGGAAGGTTGTGCAGCATCTGGAGAGAGAGAAAGACAGAGTTAACATTTCACTCCGTGCCTGTTCACCACAAAAATTCACAGACCAGAAACAATGAACTTTATTACTTAATTCATCCATAGTAGCTGCAGCGAACCCAGGACTGAAGCAGAGAAACTTCATCCAGATGTTCTGAACATTAAGTAACCAGTTGAAAACAGTTCTAAAGAAGGGTCACTGGACCCAAAACATAACTTTTTACTTACAGATGCTGCCAGACCTGGTTAGTTTTTTGAGCAATTTCTGTTTTTGTTTCTGACTTCTGGCATCCGCAGTTCTTTTTTTTAATTGGAAACTGTATTTGCAAATTGATTTTGGTGACTTTATTGGTTAAATATTTCTAGATTTGAAAAATAATAATTGGATAACCCTTCAGCGCTTTCCTAATGTTGATTAGAAACTTGTCAAAATAACCATCTACTATATTTGCTTTTAATTAGTTTTTATATTCCATTGAATAATCAAAGTACTCAAAATTGATAGCTTCAGCAGCAACTTATATTTATGTGGCACTTTAAAGAATAAAACATTCTAAGGCTGTTCACTGGACTGATCATTTAAAAGTAAAACTTCACACTGTGACACCTGAGTTTTTAAAATTTGCCTAAAAGGTGCTTAAAAAGCTTTCCAGAAAGTGTCAGTATAGAAATGGAAGAGCTCTAACCTACCTCTCAGCAGGAGGCCTGGGTTAAAGTCCCGCTTGCTCCAGATAATAACATCTCTAAACAGGTTGATTAGAGAATACCTATAATAGTTTGAGGTTATTGGGACACAGTGATGTGTCCCTACCTCTGAGCCAGGAGGCCCGGGTTCAAGTCCCAACTACTTCAGAGGTGTGGTAATAACATCTTTGAAAGGGTTGATTAAAAAGTATTTAGGAATGGATGATGATGCCAATTATTTGAATGTGATGAATCAAGAATCTTGAATTTATGTGTTCTCAGAATGCTCCACTGATTAACTTGTGACGTGTTACTGTCATGTAGGCAAAATCAGAGAAGTGAATGAAAATTAAATCTGCATTGGGAATATTGGTGGTTGTACAGTTGTTGACTGGAGCACCTATGAGTTAGCCTGCTTATTTAAATAATGCAATAGATTACAAATAGAACTTTTACATCTACTTAAACAGCCGACTGTTAGCATTTCAGCCGAAAGACAGCATCTGTGATGGTATGCACACGATCAATACCACACTAAAATGTCAACTTTAGGTTATGTACTCAAGTCCCTGAAGTGAGACCTGAGCTCATGACCTTCCGCCAAAGAGGCCAGAGTGCTACCAGTGAACCAGACTAATGCTTAACTTAGAAGAGGACTTGAAATCATTGCCCTAGTATTGTACTATTCACATAGAGTATCTTCAGTTATAGACTCATCGGGAGCAGCGGTCTGATCGAAGTTTATTAAAATAATGAGAGGTATAGATAGAGTTAATGGTAGTTGTCTTTTCCCTAGGGTCGGGGATTTCAAGACTAGGGGGACACATTTTTAAGGTGAGAGGAGAGAGATTTCTAAAAAACATAAGAGGCAAATTTTTTACGTTGAGGGTAGTTTGCATGTGGAATGAACTTCCTGAGTACGGGGTGGATGTGGGTATAATTACAACATTTGAAAGACATTTGGATAGATACATAGACAGTAGGAACTGCAGATGCTGGAGAATCTGAGACAACAAGGTGTAGAGCTGGATGAACACAGCAGGCCAAGCAGCATCAGAGGAGCAGGAAGGCTGACGTTTCGGGTCTAGACCCTTCTTCAGAAAGATACATGATCAGGAAAGGTTTGGAGGGATATGGGCCAGGATGAGACAGATGGGACTAGTTTAATTTGGAATTATGTTCGGCATAGACTGGTTGAACTGAAGGGTCTGTTTTCAGTTGATGCCAGGTAACGAGGAATTATCCATTGCGATAAATTTCCTCCATGATGATAAAATGAGCATGTCTGAATGAAGACCTAAATGTTTTTTAAATTCTTTAAAGTGATCATTTCAGAGAACTCTGGTGATCTCTGTGATGTCATAACTGTCCTTGTGACATTGCAGTAGAATACAACTGCATCATGTATCAGTGTGAATCGGCACTGTTACAAGAGGCATCTCATCTTCAAAACTCAGGACAGTACAAATGCCTAAATGTGCTCTCATCTGGGAACTGCGTTTAGATTATCCTTTCTTTTCTCATTTACCTCAGGACGTGAAGCACATGATGACTGGTGGTCCTACCCTGAAAGAAACCAGAATCATTTCCAGCAGCTATGGCAGCTCCTCTGAGGGAATAATTGAAGCTGAACCGTACAGAGGTGATAGGCTTGGTCTTATTCATTTCATTTCTTTCTACAATGCAATTTATTTTTCCATTATTTTTAAAGTAAGATTTAATATTTTTCTTTGCCATTTGACATATTTATGGTTTATAGTGAAATATTCTACCATTTTTGAGGAGTTCACAAGTAGCTTGTTTATATGTTAGAATATGAATCAGTGAGACCTTTATCATTCTGATGCTTAAAAATAAATGCTTAGTACATGCAGTTATCAATGTTAAGATGATTGAAATTCCATCTCTTCATTCTGTCTCAGAAAACGTTGTGGATACTTAATTTTTTCTCTTTTCTTTTTCAATGCTTGCACTTCTGTGGCTTTCAAATGGCATAAAACGAAAGGCAGCCCTAATTTAGAATGAAAGATGTACTATGCAGATTTCTCACCACAATGGCCAGTCTGTTGTTTTCTGAGGTAGAATCATGTACAACACAAGAAGCCATACAGTCTGTCAGTCTTCTTGGAAAGAGGTGACCGATTATTTCTATTCCCCTGCTGTTTATGCCTAACCCAAGCTACACATCTTTGCCAAAACTTTAAACCCTGCACCTTTTTCTCCTTCCGCTACTTATCTAATTTCTTTTGTTCTGTTTCCACCACCATGTCAAGCAGTGTTCCAGATTATAACAACTAGCTATGTAAAATAACATTTGTATTTTGCCTGTTTTTCCAATTAGCCCAAGTTTGTGTCCTCTTTTTACTGACATTTTGGGCACTGAAAATAGTTGCTCCTTATTTATGTTATCAAAAAACTTTGAGAGTTTGATCTCTAACCAATCTTCCCTTAACCTTCCCAGATTATCCTCTTGCTCAGGTTAACTGAAATATTCAATTAGCCCATTTCCCACCACTGGAGCAGAGATCTAAAGTTGCACAACCCTCTGAGGAGAAAAAAAATCTCCTCAGCTCCGTCCTCAGTGTGCCATTTCTAATTTTAGAAAAATTCTCCTTGGTTATGGACTGACCAACAAGAGGAATCATCCTTTCCACCATCACCTTGTCAAGACCATTCAGGATCTAGAGCATTTCAATCAAGTCACTCTTCATTCTTTTAAACTCCAGTTGAAATGAGCCCAGTCTCTCCCAATTATCCTCATAAGCCAATCTGCTCATTTTGTGTATCAATCTAAAAAACCTCGTCTGAATCACCTCTGGAAATCTGAAATACAAGAGAAAATGCTAGAGAAACTCAGCAAGTCTGATAGCATCTGTGGAGGAGAATGTTTCAAATTCAATATGACTTTTGTTCAGAACCCTTATGTTCAATTTCCCATTAGCCTTCTTGATTATGTGCTGTACCTGCGTACTAACATGTTGTGACTCATGCACCAGAACATCAAGTCCCTCTGCATCTTTGAATTCTGCTGTTGTTTTTCATTTAGATAATACTCTGCTTTTTTCATTCTTCCTGTCAAAGTGAACAGTTTCACATTTTTTCCTAATTTTACTTCATCTGCCAGAGTTTTGCCCATTCACTCAACTCTTCTATATTTGTCTGCAACATTTTCATCTGCATCACAACATACTTTCATACCTATTGTCATCTGTGAATTTAGCTGCGGTGCTTTTGTTCATCTTAATTAGGTAATTGAAGTAAAATGTAAAATGTTGAGGTCCCAGCACAAATCCCTGCAGGACACTGCTCGTCATATTCTACCAACAGACAAAGACACTTCTTGCATACTGTCTGTTTTCTGACAATCTTGTGTCTTTGACAGTTGGTTATCCTACTTTTTTATTTTCTGCAGTAACCTTTAATGAGAAACCTTATGAAATGTCTTCTGGAAATCCAAGTATAGTATGTCCACAGGCTGTCCTTATCAACAGCACAGTATCCACAGTGAATAAATTAATGAAACCTGATTTCCATTTGGTAAAAACATACTGAGTCTTCCCGATTTACCTTGAATTTTTCAAAGCACACAGCTATAACCTCCTTTTGATCGGTTCTTACACCTTCCCCACAACGAGCCTCAAGTTGACTGGACTGTAATTTCCTGTTTTCCATCTCCCTTCTTGAATAGAGGGAATACTTACTACTTTTCACTCCAATGGAGCATTTCCTGAATAAGGTAGAATTAACAATAATACATCTACTCATTAGCAACCTCTTTAAGACCATAAAATGAAAAATAAATGAACCCCGAAGCTTGTCAGCTCGCAGCTCCAACAGTTTGTTTTTTGGTGTCCCTTCCTTTGCGATTGTAATTTTACTAAGTTCCTCTCCTTCCACTTTCTGATTTATAACTATTGCTGGAATGTTTTTTTGTATCCTCTGTAGTGAAGACAGAAACCAAATATCATTCATTTCATCTGCCAATTCCTTATCAATCTACTGTTGACTCCCCGTTCTCACCCTCAAGGGAACCAACAGTCACTTACATTTTTCCTTTTTAAATAACTGTAGAAATTCTTACTAGCTATTTTACATTCCTAGCTGGCTTCCTCTTATGTTCTAACTGCTTCCTGCTGATTAGCTGCTTCTTCATTTTTTATTATTCTTTATATGCTGATCAATCATCTGGGTAGTCACTCATCTTTGCGCAATTATATTTTTCTTTAAATACTAATTTATTTACTTACCCATGAGTGGTGGGTCCTCCCCTTAGAATTTTTCTTTATATTGGGAATATACTTATTCTGTGTGTTCTGAAATATTGTTTAAATGTCTGCCTCTGTTTCTCTGTTGATTTCTTGCCTAGCTTAAAATGCCAGTTCACTTTAGCTTACTCAGCTTTCATGTGCACATAATTGCCCTTACTGGAGCTTAAAATGTTAGTCTTACCTCCAATCTTTTCCCTTTAAAACTTGAAGTATAATTCAATCATATTATGGCTGTTGCTATCTTGGGGTGACTTAACTCCGAGGTCATTAATTAATCCTGTCAGATTGCACAATACCAAGTCTAATGTAACCTGTTCTCTGGTCAGTTTCAAAACATGCTGATCTCAGAAACTATCTCAAGCATTCTATGAACTCTTCATCCAGTCGACTACTGACAATCGTTTTTTTCCATATATTGGAAAATATATGTACCCATGATTATTTTATCACAAGCACCCAATATTTCTTCTTGTATACTTTGTCTAGCATTCTGTTTATTGTTAAGGGGCCTGTTGACCACTCTCACCAATTACTACTTTCCCCTACAATTCCTCAACTCCTTCCAAACTGATCCTACATTCTGCTCTCCTAAACCAAGGTCAACTGTAACTATTACGCGAGTGCCATCTTGGTTAACAGTACTACCACATCGCCTTTACCCAGATTCCTGTTTCATTTATGTCATATGCTTGTCATCTTGAAGCTATGTTTCTATTGTAGCTACCAGATCATAATTTACTTTGTATACTGTTGTTTTTGTAGCATCTGGCCTTGATTGCTGGTGTATTTCTCGGTTTTTATCACTGACCCTCTTTGCCCCCACTATTTGCTATAAAATCCTCTCTGCTTCCCTAGTTACGAGATTAGCAAGAACATTGATTCCACCACGGTTCAGCTGTGGACTGTCCCAACAGTACAGCCCCAACTTTTCCCAATACTGGTGCCAGTGACCCATAGACTGAAATTCACTTCTCCCTCATCAGCATTTCAGCCACATAATTATCTCTCTAATTTTATGTACCCTATGCCAATTTGCACACAACTCAAGGACGAATCCAAAGAAACCTTTTGAGATTCTGTACTTCAGTTTGGTGCCTAGCTTTGCATACTCCCTCGGCAAAACCTCTTTCCTAGTTCTACCTATGTTATTGGTACTTGTGTGGAACACAACCATTGTATCCTCCTCCCACTGCAAGTTCCTTTGCAGCACTGAGCAGAAGTCTCAAACACAACCAAAGAGCCTTAGAATCTTGCTGCAGAAAATGGTGTCAATCTGCCACACTATATTATCACCTACTACATTCCTTGTTGCTCCCATCACTTGAGTGGCTTCCTCTGTCATGGTGCTGTGGTCAGTTTGCTCATCCACTTTGCAGTTCGCATTGTCATCCATTAGTTTTATTTATTTAATTAATTACATTATTCACTTGCTTATATTGCCCTTTATATGTTTTATTGGTATACTATATGGTGGTAAAGTTATATTAAAATTTAAGTTTGGAAGAGACCTTAACAAATGACCAGGGACTCATCAGCTTCTTTCTGTGTTGTAAAAAAAACAACCAGAAATTCTTATCAGCTCCAATGCACCTAGCTTCATCTCTGACTGCCTGCCTCATCGCTTAGGGTCATCACCTCACCTGCTCCTCTCTTATATACTCAAGTTCATGTCACCAACGCATGATGTAAAAACAGTGTAAGGATGCAGAGCTTAAAGTGGCTTAGGTAGTTGTGAATGAGTCTTTCATGTGGGTGTCAGTGTGACTACCCTTTGCCTCACAAACGACAACACCTTCCAGTTGCAAACCATTTCAACTCCCCCTCCAACTCCCTGGGCGCAATGTCCATCCTGGGCCGCCTTCAGTGTCAGAATGACACCACCCACAAACTGGAGGAGCAGCATCTCATATTCCACCTCAGGAGCCTACAGCCCTTGCCCTAAACAATTTTGAAATCTCCCCACCCCCGGCCTCATCCCATGACCAACCCTCCCTCTCATCCCTGCCTCCTTGACCTGACACAACCTGTCCATCTTCTCTCCCGCCTATCTGCTACTCCCACCTCACTGACCAATCCCCACCACTGCCTACTTGCACTCACCTATCACCATCCCACCTACCTTCCCCAGCCCCACCCCTCCTCTCTATTTATTTCGGAGCTCCCTTCCCCCACCCCCACTTCTGAAGAGGAGTCCCGACCCGAAACGTCAACTTTCCTGCTCCCCTGGTGCTGCCTGGTTTGCTGTGCTCCTCCAGCTCTGCACTGTGTTATCTCTGACTCCAGCATCTGCAGTTCTTACTAACCCTTAAAAGCAATGAACAGTTTTTATTTATCCCTCCCCTATTTTGGTTTCTACTTTCACCATTTTCCTCTG